CTCCTGAAAATTTGAGCGTTGGGTGTGGTGTCGCGACACCATTGCTCTGCAATTTTGTTTAAGACATGAAACCATTATCTCGTAACTGGAAAAAGTTAGAATTTGGATGTGTAATACTAGCCTAAATATTATTCAGGTGTATATTTCAAAAGATGCGGGATATCATTTGAGCAACTTCTTGCAACACAACTAGTCTCTAAAACGTCGAAAAAGGGTAGGAAATATTTTTGACCGTCTTTATTCAGATTCGTGCCACTGTGCGTCGGTAACATTTGGCACCCAGAATGGAAGATCGACGGAAAGCAAAACAAGGGAAAAAAAAATCCCCTGAGAAAAGCCAAGTTCAAAAATACAAACGTCACGTTTAAATTAGTATTTTAAAGTATTGTGAGGAGCTGATTGCCGATAAGTTTTACCCTTACCCAAGTTTTAGATAGAGCTGCCCTGGACTTGCCTAGACTTTTCGTTCGTTCATGGCATTCCCTAAATTTATATGAATTTCTCTGAACTTCTCTTACGTTCCGAAAATTTTCTTGATGTTCATATTTCTCTGAAGACCCCACAGTTTTCTAGAAATATTTGGTACATTTCTGAAAGTCTTGGAATGTTCCATAATTCCTCGGCACTTCGTGAAATTCCCGGTACTTCTTATAGTTTCTCAAAATTTTCCAGAAGCACATTGAGCTGTCCTGAATTTATCGAATTTTACATTTTTAGATCTTAGTACTATACCAACCGGTGGAAAGGAAACTAACGATTTCAAATTGGCTCAGTACTTGACTAGCCTATTGGTCTCAAGTACATCTATAAGCGTACTCCATACTAGTCGAAATTCTAGCACTACACTATGTTTGTTTTGATTCGCTATGAAAGTTTGACTGATAAAATGTTTCGTGGATTTTCCTATATTCCAAGGGGTGCATCGATTAGCTTGAGACCGAAGATAGTACCAGAGTGGAGCCAACAAGTTGAGCACGTTTCTAACTACAGATCTTTAAACTTCCCCGAAAGTCTGAATTTGAGATCTCAGAGCTTCCATGGAGATCTCTAGGGCAAGCTTTCTTGAAAGTTTCCACAGTTCTCCTAAAGTTCTGCAGACTTATCTTCAGATGATTTTTTAAAATTTGTGGAGTTGTTTGGATATCCTTGAAGTCATATGCCCACCATTTTACAGAAGTTCCTTTACTATCCCGCAGATCGTTCATGAAACTTTGCCGTAACCCTCGGTATTTTATTTTATTTCTCGAAACTGCTTCCTAAAATTTTTGTGAACCCTCTTGAATTTCTTTTATTTCGTGAAGTTCTCTCTACTCTTCTGATGATGTTTTTTTGGAATTTCCCTGGAATGAATAAAACTGTCCTAAAGATCTCTAAACTTCCCAACTGAATCTCAGTTGGAGTTGGCGAGAAGTTTTCGATATTTTTCTTAAGTTTTGTTCTATTATTTTTGAAACTTCTTCGATCCCAACAGTTGCATGAATGTAATGGAACTGTGAACCTGGAGTTCTCGGATCTTCCCAAAAAATTTGCGCAAGCTTCCTGATAATCATGGTCTGAGTCCTCATAACTGATTGAACCTACTTAACTCCCTCAACTTAAGTTTGGAAACTTCTGTAAAGTTCCTGCAGCTTTTCTGATGTTATTGAGACTGTCCTGATGCTTTATTGATTTTTTTAAAATTTAAGTATACTAAAGGAGAATACTTATACCTTTTAAATCTTTGGTTTTAATTAGTTAGGTAGGTTCCAATTCAACACATTGTAGTTTCATTTTTATACCTGTGATCTTGACTTTTATACCTAGGGGATGAGTACTTAAGGGGTTTGAATTTTGAATAGTTCTTTAGTGGGAATGACACTGATGAAGACTGCACATTGTAGTCGAAATACGTATCTGTCATGGCTACCAAAATTAATTAAGTGGAATTAAATGGAAGATAACCTTTTTTGCTGTTTTATTTAAGTAAAATGCACATTAACATAACATTAAAAGATAAAAGCAAAAGAAAACTATTTTGGAAAATGTTGAATCTAGGAAGTATGAAGAAAACTTCTTTAAACCTCATACGTGGGATGTTTTATGCATCACTTATAATGCATTTATACAACAATTCCTTTTCAAAAAGATGCTTTATGTGTTACTTGGGTAAAGTTCTTGAAACATTCCTGAAGTTTTGAAAATGGCTCAAATAAGCTCCTCCTTCGCTGTTTTTTTCTGGACTTCCCTAAAATTCAAAGCGGTTGGTCACTGTGCGAGTGTGTGTGTGTGTGTGTGTGTGTATTCAATCTAACCCCCACTGGCCGGCAGTGGTATTATGGAAGAAATTTGCTTACAACAATCCTTGATGTTATAATTTGAAGCAAGTTTAATCCGGGAGTTAGAAAGCGATAGCTCTACTGTAGATTCAGCAACCCATTTCAGAATGCCTGGTAATTCACGTCCATTCCGAGGTTACTTTCACATACAATAAGCCCCGCATGTAAACACTACCGTTATCATATGAATAATGGTACTGTTAACACACTTCCAGATTTCAAAATGTGATGTTTCGAAATCTGGCGCGTATTTAGTAATATATGGAAATATGCATTTATGATTGATTATAAATCAGATGGATCTCACCAAATTCTGCCTCCATAAAAGGACCGGTTTGTTTACTCGCGATAATCTAAAAAATCTTCCGCGTTGTTTTTACAACCCAACACGACATTTTGAATCACATTCGAAATTTTTCATTTGCACCGAATTTTTGCTTGACAACTCATTCGCGTGCATCCTCCTGAAGGCAGAACGCCAGCACCAAGAAAAAAAAATACCCGGTAAAACTCTTCTTGGGAGGGAGGCAAAGCACCAGAATCGAAAAACGAAAAAAACGAAATGAAGAACCAACCGACGCGACACCACAGCCACACAGCTACTCGAAACAAATTCTTGTCCCAGATTTTTCACGTTAATTACAATATCACTAAAAAAAACTTCTTAAGACGTGATAGATCTTAATTTACACTTATCCACACGCGAAAACTAATATTTGTTTGATTTGGTACAATTAAAAAAATATGCGAAAAACAGATGAAATCTGCGCCAACGAAAACAAAACCAACCGTTCGCGGGCAGAGCCTACTGCGTTTTCAGCGGTTGGTCACTGTGCGAGTGGGCCAAAACACAACAAGTGGTATTTTTTGACACCCATGGTGTGAAATTTTCACAATTTATAAAGTTTCTGACAACACTGGACTATATCCGTGCCTAAGCAGTGCGTAAGTGTCAACATTAAATTGATTAATTGATGTTGATATAAACATTTTTTAGAATCGCAACCGTGAAGTAACGCATTGCATTTCTAGCGCAGATCCTATTGCCCAGGCTCAGGAAGTAGTGGCCAGTGCCACAGATAGCGACAAGGTGGCAAATACACCTGAGCAAAATTGAAAAATTGTGCAGCTGCCACTACAGTATCGGTCGTTTCCGACGCCCAGGAAACGAAAGGGGATTCGACGAACAATGCCATAGAATGCCTGGAGCAGAAATAGTCAAACACTTTCAAAATGCTTCTGATTGACCAAGCTTCTCCTGGTTGCTCTTCCGAACTTCCCTAGGAATCTTGCTCTCATAGTCGGCTGCTTCCATGAAACTCTCCAACGTGTCCTTGGTGGCATCGTCGCTGCACAAGACGAACGCTTCCGTCTCCACCGACCAGTTGAAAACGCTTTGGGACGACCGCAGATGAAGTGGACCACGCTAATACTCGCTACTTGCTCCACGTTGGTACACGGCAACCGCAGCTAAATAGATGCAGGGCCAGACGGGACAGGATCCAGCGATCGATGTTGCTCTCGGAGCCGCTCTGTAGAGTGACGATAGAAGTCTTTTATAAATTTTAAAATTGAACGTGACTCGTCGTACCGCTCCTCGTTGGTGAAGTACATCAACGCAAACTTAGTCGCATTCCTTAGTTTGTTGTAGAAGCCGCCATGGATGCACATAATTTCCAAGTTAATGTACCGTTCCGTCCTGCACTGCAGAATACCGTTTGGGAAGTATTGCTTCCGGTCGGTCTTGGCTTTCTCGATCTCTCACGGGTCCAGGTTGGAATTTACTGAATAGCTGCAGGTGCACGTCCTTCAGCGAGATACCGGCAATCACATCGATCGGATCGGATACATACCTAGCGTTTTATACATCTTGCGTTCGTGTCCATTCATCTCGCAACAGTTCCGTGTTCGGGATTGTCCAATTCCGATGTTTTTTTTATTTGTGGGTTATGCAAGCAAATCAAAACACTTTCGGGACTGCCGGCACACTTGAGGCACACCGAGAAAAAAAGTTGGCGCAAAATAAGTGTGCAGAGTGACCACCCCTTGGATAATTTATTCTCAAACCAAACCCATTTTTTTGATTATGTCTTCTTCGGTAATTTCAGCATGCTAGAGGCAATGCACTTTTTGTCTTCAAATCGGCAATTTTTTTTCGATTCTCGGTCCACTCCAGGAGATCTTTTGGGTTGTAAATTTTCCTGACTGCGCTGGACATAAAGTATCTTTGTGCCTACCACACATTATACAAAGTAATGCATTCGTTGGCAAAGAAAGCTCTCAATTAATAACTGTGGAAGTGCATCTAGAAAACTAAGTTGAGATCCGGAAAAACGCTTGCTACAGAAGCGTAAAAAGAAGAAGAAGACGTCACCGTAGTGTAAAAATACATTTCAATTTACGTACTTCCGGATCGCTTTAACTACGGTTCGGAAGCAACTAACAGGGGAGGAAGTAGACTGTTGATCAAACACCCACAACCCACAACCAACACTGCAGTAGCTTCTGCAGGCGAAAAGTTTGTTCCGTTTGTGTTTTTTTTTCTTTTTCCTGTAAGCATCATTAGTCGTTTACCCGGTTTGTTGACTTGGCAACCCCACCGGCAGTGCGGTGCAAATTACTGTACCTAATTCTATTAACTAGATACTTTTACTCTTCCTTAGATGGAAATTCTCTCAAATCAGCACTGCGACCCAACTTCGAGCACAAATACGAGTTTATTTCGCACGGAGGAAATCAGCGCCGTTCAAACACCACCAGCAAACCATCCTTGGCTTCGGTCAGGAAGGTTTTCCTATTGAACTGCCACGGTTTGTGATTGGGTGCGACGCGAACCCGGAAGTTTTGCACCAACTTCAGAAGAGCTACTTTTATCTGGACCTGGGCGAACCTCATACCCAGGCACATTCGAGGACCTTCACCGAAGGGATAGTACACTGGTAGGGTTCGTTCGGCTTTCTTTTCCGGGCTGAAACGTTCCGGTCGGAACTTTTTCGGTTCCGGGTAGTATTTGGGGTCCCTGAAGAAACGAAGAATTTTAAGGTGCTTCGAGAACGATTCATAGCACACAGCTTAACTTACATGTGAATGGCTAGCAGGGGCAGCAAAATGGTGGTTCCCTCCGGGATCAGCGTTCCGACTTCTTTGCCATCGACTAGATGCTTGAGCATGTAAGTTTTGGTGCAGAGTTTCTGCATCGCGGCAAGCGGTGGGGTCATCCGAAGACTCTCCTGTAGAACCCAGTCCAGGTAGTCGAGCCTCTGGACCAAGTCGTAGGTGATGGTGTTTTCGTTTTCACTAAGGGTGCTCTGGATTTCCTGGAAAAGTTTGTCCTGAACGTCCGGATTTTCCGCCAACTGGAGTGAAAAGTGGTTGTGTTAATCGATTGCGTGTTGGATAAGTGATGGAATAAAAACTTACGTGAAGAAGTGCAAACGACATGGCCGTACTCGACGTTTCGAATCCCTCCGAGAAGAATGCGAGAGCGTGACCGGCGATCATCTCCTCTGTCAGTTCTGTTGTAGAATGAAGAAGTTATGAGGTTGATCAGAATCATGTGAGAGTCGGCAGAAACAATATATATGCGATGCCAATTTTCAATTGCCAATTACTGTCCAACGGAAGCTCAATTATACAATTGCAAATAATTATAATTTTTCTTCTGGGACGATCCATAAAATTCCTTCGGGCAGCTTTGTAAACGTATCACTAAAACGATGATATGCTCCTTTACTGCTTAACCACTCACATTAACTGTCCTGCCTGAGGTTTTGTTTTGTAAGAGGAGCGATGTGCATGTATCTAGAATAAACATCCAAAAATAGCTATCATAAGAATCATCTTCTGGAAGTTTCATGTTAGCTTCTTTTGGAATCTTCTTGCCAGTCCACTCCGGTCACCGTTTGTAATGGTTTGCTGTTGTGTAAGGGGCTCGATGCCCTAGTGGCCACCGTTTTTGCATACTGAGCAGAAGATCACGGGGTTTTATCTCAGGCCTCTTTACACTACTGAATTGATTGGTTCGCTACATTCGTAGATCATAAATAGTATTTGTGTGAATTTCGAAAATACAACAACATATCAAAAACATGATCGGATCACTTATCAAGATGAATTGAAGCCTGATTCAACGAATCATACCTACTAACAAAATCTCCCCTCCTGTGACCTTCGTGAGGTCGCAGAGGTAAACATGGTTCGCAAAACAACAAAGCTTACTTTAATATTCCTCTCCTTCTCCCACCTGATTGCAAGGACGTGACCACTGAAACTTAGACAATGAGAATGAGCGGTAACTCCTAGCCCCATTTAGTTGATTCAATAAGCAATTTCACTGATTCTGATCAATCACGGAGTAGTATCCATTGGTATCTACAGTCAGTCTTAGCTAAACTGCGGTTCCTACACAATCCTGGAGGGACTCTTGTCCCATTAGCACTCCCAATAGCAACGCCCACGTCACATTCTATTAGCTAGTCAGTGAAGACACGACATTTGAAGAAATCAAACCTTGGAAGAAGTATGTTTTGCCTCCAAAATTCCCCCTAGCTGATCTTAAACTCTATGATTTATGCTCGCATTACCTGTTTTGCTCTTCAGCAAGGATTGCAGTTGATCATCTCGTTCCACCTTATTAGACCGTCTTTCTTCCAGCAATTTCGCAACCATCTTGCGTATCCAGACGTCGACTTCCTTCGGTAAGAACCTACAATTTCAGAAAAAAAAAACAAATTGAACCATTTCGCCCATTTACCTCATCGCAATCCAATACTCACGGCACCGGAATCACCTTGGTCACGGCCGGTACAAATATCGTCAACATGAACTTAATCGAAGCCAGGAACGTTGGCTGGAAAATCTTCTTGCCCATCACCCGCCACTCGCTGTTGGGATTCTCGAAACAATCCGCATCCAAGCTGAACGCACAGCCCGCGACATTCTGCGTTGTATATGCAGCCGATATCTGCGAACCAAATTGCGTCCAAAATGAAAACAAAGCATCGAAATTCAATCACGTCATTTACTGATAAAGAAGTGCGGCTTTTGTTATCTCCGTCCGTTCGATAACAGTCATGTAATCGTTGAACCTACCGTTTTGGCTTCCAGCTCACGACCACACTGACCACCGACAAAGTCAACAAATGTACTGCTAACTTGATCCATGATCGGAAACAGTTGCTTCATCTTGCTCCCGGTGAAAATTGGAGTCAACAGCTGCCGGGCCTTCTTCCAGCGTTCCCCGTCGACCATGAAGGGATTGTGAGCCAGCAGAGGGTCGACTTTCTCGTCAAATGCAAAGTCATTCGCTGAAAAGCACGCCTGATCCTTGACCAGGACGTTTTTGATCATTTCCGGATCCCGAATCATCACCGATGGTTTGAATATCTTGAAGTACCCAACGAAGGGTGCGTTGGAGAATTTGCTGTTCGAAAACGATGGCTTAGTCCGGGTCAACTAGAATCTTTTTAACTGAACTTACTTGTACCACTCATCGCACACTTCGCCGATGTGTTGCGTCATGAAGATGTTGGAGGCGATGTTTCCGAAGATGAGCGACGGCTTTGGTCCGGGGACATTTTCCCGCTGCCAGTGCTTGAAATGATACTTGATCAGTTCACGCACCGCCAACCCAGCCCCAAGGACGAGGAAGAAGGCCAACGGGTTGGTGTAGAGCAGCCCGATGAGGAAGGTTATCGTGAGAATCATTTTAACTCGGTAGTCACTCGCCACTGCTGTGCGCTGCGTGATTCAAGACGGACTGATATGGGAAACAAGCTAAAATTGACTGTGGACTGATTTTGCATTTTGGGGGATATGATAAGAAGCATTGAGGTTTCCTTTAATATCATTTAATCTATCTATCTATCTATATATATAAAAATGAATTTCTGTCTGTCTGTCTGTCTGACCCTTATAGACTCGGAAACTACTGAACCGATTGGCGTGAACATTTTTGTACAGGGGTTTTTGGGGCCGTGGAAGGTTCTTATGATGATTCGAGACCCCTCCTCCTTCTGTAAGGGGGGGGGGGGCTCCCATACAAATGAAACAGAAATTTCTGCATAACTCGAGAACTAATCAAGCAAATGGAACCAAATTAGGCATGTGGGGGCGAGTGTGGGGGTATAAGGAGATAATCATAGGGGGTAGCCCCTTAGATAATAGGGGGGGGGGCTACGTACAGTCAGGAATCCTTATTGCCGGGGTAACGGGGGCGTGAATAAGGAACCGCGAATAAGGATACCCACAGCTTATGGGATTTTCACTAATGGGGGCTGTAGTGGATTATCTCATTTGTTTCAATACATAAAGCTATACTGTCTTCGACAAAGTTGCTGTACTGGGTTAGACCAACAAGCCTGTGCCATTGGATTCAGGTTAAATTGGGAACTACGCCGCTAGAGGCGCTTCACTTTTATGTTACTTATGACGGGTGCTATAATATATGGATCATATTTCCAACATAGAATATTTCGTGATCCTGACCATATAGAAAGTTACTGTCTTGAGCAAAGTTGTTCAGGTGACCAAGTCCTTTCGAATGGTGGCTATATTAGTACAGAACTCTCTCACTACGCAGTGCTAGTGTGCATGTGCAATTCCTATATAAACTGTATCTCGAGAGCCTGGCCATATAGAAAGTTGCTGTTTTCAGCAAAGTTGTGCAGGTGATCAAGTCCTTTCGGATGGTGGCCATATTAGTTCAGAACTCTCTCACTACGCAGCGCTAGTGTGCATGTGCAATTCTTATATAAACTGTATCTCGAGAGCCTGACCATATAGAAATTTGCTGTTTTCAGCAAAGTTGTGCAGGTGAGCAAGTTCTTTCGGATGGTGTTCATATTAGTTCAGAACACGCTCACTACGCGGCGCTAGTGTGCAAGTAAATTTCCTGTATAAGCTGTATCTCGAGAACCTGGCCATATAGAAGGTTACTGTCTTGAGAAAAGTTGTTCAGGTCACTAAGTCCTTTCGGATGATGCTCATATTATTTCAGAACCCTCACACTACGTGGCGCTAGTGTGCACATGAACGGTTGCGGTTCAAGAAAAACTGTCAAATACCCTACAATATGGGTATTTCCGGATAGGGAACGACGTGTAGAGGCCGGAAATCGATGTCAGACGTCATTTTGGAATCCAAGATGGTTGCCATCAGTTCAAGAAAAACTGTCAAATACCCTACAACATGGGTATTTTCGGATAGGAGATGACATGTAGAGACCGGAAATCGATGTCAGATGCCATTTTGTAATCCAAGATGGCGGCCATCGGGTCAAGAAGAACTGTCAAATACTCTACAATATGAGTATTTCCGGAAAGGAAACGACGTGTAAAGCCCGAAAATCGATGCCAGATGTCATTTTCAAATTCAAGATGACGGCCATTGGTTCAAGAAAAACTGTCAAATACCCTACAATATGGGTATTTCCGGACGTGTAGAGGCCGGAAACCGATACCAGACGCCATTTTAAAAACCAAGATGGCGGCCATCAGTTTTATGAAGAACTGTCAAATATCCTACAATGTGGGAATTTCCGAAAAGGGACGACGTGTAAAGGTCAGATATACATTCCAGACGCTATTTTGGAATCCAATATGGCGGCAACATGTTTTCCATAAATAAGGCTTACCAAGCATATTGCGTATAATTTATTGTGTATAGCGTATCATTGAGCAAGATCGCAACATAACGTGGAAAATTCCGTAAAACAATAAAATGCTTTGATTTGTTTTGGTTTTTTTATCGTAAGCTACAGATTTATTCCACATTTTATTTTCTCTTTCGATAACAAAGAACCAACCAGTGCTGTCATGTTTTATGCATTCTACTCACTCTCGTTCTTCCACATGGGTCTCGACTTCCCTTAGCAAATCGTGCATTTTTGCACTCCGTTCAACATTGCAATGTGCAGAAACTTACGACCTCGGATAGTTGATTTGGTTTTAACTTGATTTCTGCCGCACCAGGTGGTGGATGAAAATATAAACCATATTCACTGTAGAGGGGTCCAGGAATAAATCTGTAGTTTACGACAGAAAAAAACAAAACAATTAAAAGCGTTTTATTGTTTTGAGGAATTTTCCACGTTATGTTGCGATCTTGCTCAGTGATACGCTATACACAATAAATTATACGCAATATTCTTGGTAAGCCTTATATACGGAAAACATGTTTTTTTAACTAGTTCGTTTATTTGGAAGGCTCAATCACGTTAGCTTTACGGAGCCGATAGTTCATTGTTCTTTGTTTGTAACAACATTCACTTAATTCTATGGCTAGTAGGAGTTGGGCCGAATACTCGCGGCTTACTCGAGGTAAGAGAGGTACATTGTCGAAGGATAGGATCAGGGGAGGAGCTTGGGGGCAAGGTTTCGTTGTCTCATCAGAGCGTTGTCACCAGTATGAACGGTAGTGCGGTTCTAGTTTCGTCTGGAGTTAGATCGGCTATAGTGACCATGGAAAACATGTTGCCGCCATATTGGATTCCAAAATAGCGTCTGGAATCTATATCTGGCCTCTACACGTCGTTTCGTTTCCGGAAATACTCATATTGTAGAGTATTTGACAGTTTTTCTTGACCCGATGGCCACCATCTTGGATCCCAAAATGTCGTCTGGCATCTATTTCCGGCCTCTACACGTCGTCTCCTTCCAAAAATATCCATATTGTAGGGTATTTGACAGTTTTTCTTGAACCGATGGCCGCCATCTTGGATTCCAAAATGGCATCTGACATCGATTTCCGGCCTCTACACGTCATCCCTTTTCCGGTTCCTGTTCTCACATTGCACAGCAACATCTTATATGGACAAGTTTTGGAGTCATAACATATTAAGGAAGTTCATGTGCACACTAGCGCCACGTAGTGTGAGGGTTCTGAAATAATATGAGCATCATCCGAAAGGACTTAGTGACCTGAACAACTTTTCTCAAGACAGTAACCTTCTATATGCCCAGGTTCTCGAGATACAGCTTATACAGGAAATTTACTTGCACACTAGCGCCGCGTAGTGAGCGTGTTCTGAACTAATATGAACACCATCCGAAAGAACTTGCTCACCTGCACAACTTTGCTGAAAACAGCAAATTTCTATATGGTTAGGCTCTCGAGATACAGTTTATATAAGAATTGCAGAACGTGATATGGCGAACAAAGTAGTGTTTTTGTTGAGTTGTGCTGTGGAAATAAATACATAATTTCGTGTGAAATAGTGCCGTGTGCCGCGAAAGGATCATCCCAACGCGTGCCCGTTGTGTTGTTTTTAACAGGATAAGTAGAGAACGGTTGCCTAGCAACTCGTTTTGGATTTAATTTTGATTTTCCCCCCAGCGCGCTATTGATTTTGTATAGTGAGCTGCGGCGGTAAAATTTTATTTTGTGTTCTCTTCCCCTGTATATGTCTACTGCTAACAGTGTGCGCGTTTAATTTGGCGTGGTAATATGGATGTGTGTAATGTCTGCAAGGAGTCTATTACTATTAGTGGGCTCCCAGTCACATGTGTAGGTCCGTGCAATGGAATGTTCCACTTCAATTGTGCGGCACTCACTAAGACTGCGGCGCGCCTAATAGCAGATAATGCAAATGTTGTTTTCAAATGTGGTAACTGTCTATCAGGTCAGTGTTGTGGCGAGCAGAATGATCTGATCTCGCGCGTCAATAGGATAGAAGAAGAGATGAAGAAAGTTTTTCAACTCTCGGACTCTATCACTGGCATACGAGATCACATTGCTGCTCAGATAGACATCGCGGTTAAAAGCGGGATGGCAGATATAAGCCGAAATGTAAATGGTTTTGAAAATTTAATTTGTGAGAAATTGGATAATATGAAAAGTTCATTTTTTAAAATTGATGCGGAAAACAAATTAGCGGTAATGAATGATCAGTGCAGTGTATCTAGGACAATTCAGTCGGAATCGGACCAAAATACCAGACGCAAAAAACGTAAATTAGTAATCAGTAATAGTGATAATGATGATGTTTTTCAAGAAAATGCGAGTTTTGCGGATGTTGTAAAAAGAGACAGTCGTGCTAGTAAAAGTAAACATGTTAGTAACAGTAACAGTAAAAATAACAGTAACAGTAACAAACAAGATAATCGTAAGACTCGTCCGGTCATTGTGATTAAACCGAAAGAGTCCAAACAAGCTTGCGAAGACACTCGTAAGTTTTTGAAAACTCAGTTGGATCCAAAAACACACAAAATCAGTAATTTTAGAAATGGTAAAGATGGCTCCATTATTGTTGAGTGTGCAACAGGAGCAAATGTAAGTGATGTCAAAAATGGTATTGAAAGCAATCTGGGTGAAAGCTATAGTGCTGTTGTTCCCACTTCGGTGCCGAGATTGAAAATAGTGGGCATGAGCGATCAGTATTCCTCCGATGTCTTCATTGACTATTTAAAAAGTCAGAATGAAGACATCGCTATAAATGATGTAAAAGTAGTTAATATGTTTGAAAATCCACGCTTCACGTACAACAAGTTCAGTGTTGTGATTGAAGTCGATTTCGATACGTATAAATGTTTGTTATGCGCGAAAAAAGTAAATGTAGGGTTTGATCGGTGCTCTATAGTTCCCGCGATTAATGTATTGAGGTGTTTCAAATGTGGAGAATTTGGGCACAAGAGCATGGATTGCAAAAATTGTGAGAGATGCTCTAGGTGCAGCCAACAACACAAAACATCGGAGTGTACGTCAACTGT